GGGCGCGCTCACGCGGCCGCCCTTGGCGCCGAGTTCTTTACAATGGCCTGGATCGGTAAATTGTACTTCTGCCCGTGCCCGTCCGTAATCCCGCCCGCTGGCTTGCGCCTCAAGCCGGCAGACAAAATTGTACGTCCTTCCAGTACAGCGCTGCGACGGCTTTAAGCATGCTTTGCCGACGGTGAGGGCTTTGATGGTTTTGACATGGGCAAGATGAATTTCCCCAGCAGTGTTCAAGGAGAGCAAAGGAAAAAAAGAAGGAGAGAGAGTAGAAGGGAAAATGCAGCCAATCAAAAAATTCAAGGAGAGAAAGAGTGGGCCAGCAAATCAGACATGTGTGTTCAGCCTCTGCATAATCCTGGGTAAATCCAGATCTGCCCAGCCCCACTGAGGTCATCGGATACTAACAGACATTAGGTGCCTAAATACTCTTGAATTCCAAGTCTTTCTATGCCTAAAGCCTAACCTACAAACCAAGGATTTTAAGTAATTAACGTCATTGTGGTGTTGTGAGCATCAAGTCCTTTGAAGCTCTCTGCTATCACAGCAATGAGGTCCACACAATGTACAGTCTTACACCGGTTTTAAAAAACTTTTCTTGACATACCTTTGAGTCCTCCTCCTTTCACTTTTCTTCACACACTTGATGAGACAACAAGTTAAAAAAGCCATGGACATCAGCAGAATGACGGCACAGCTCACGATGGAGGCGATCACTGCGACCTTAAATCCAAAAGTCTCATATTTTGATATGGCTGCAGCAAAGCAAACACAGAAGCACGTTTCTAAGGTCAAGCCCTGAATTTCTTTCACATTTTCATTAAACCATGCCAAAACCTACCCGCTTCACACTTCTGCTAATAATAGCTCAGTGAGGACTTTCATGTTAGTATGTGTCGAGACACCAGAGTATCTTGGCTGCAGCTTAGAGCTACGCAAGCCTCAAATGGGGCTATTTAAAAATCTCTCATTTATAAGCTACTAATGACTTGTTCACAAGTATTTCACCACTGCAACTCATTAAACACAATGCCTTTAGAGCTGCAGTAGCTAAAAAGCGCAACTTTGTCGGCGTATCAAATGCAGATGAGCTGGTAGACTCTTATAAGCAATTGTTAACGAGTACTGGAGCTGCAAAAGCAAATACTGAGAGGGGTAAATGGCTTTAAAGAAGCCCTTTAGGGTTAGCTCTCAAGGAGAGTCCATATAATTACATCCTATTTGGCAGGCAGTGAACAACAGGTCTTCCTCTCTTTGGGGAAGGGTGCAGGATGGAAGAAGGGACAGTATCTGCAGGGCTGAGTGCTCACAGTGACCTGATGTTGGAAGCGAATTATCCAGACAAAAGGAGTGGGAATGTGGTGTGGCAGAGCTAACGCAGATTTCTGCCAACTCATTGGGAGCACTAAGCATGTCTTGCTTCAAAACTCACCCAGTTCTTCCAAAACCATGAGGACCTGCATCAGAAATAGTTCAGCTGAGCTCCACGCAAAGCTTTGTATTTCTGCAGCCTCTCGAGGGGAGGATTTCTCTCATTTGTCTTTAATGGAATCCCTCAAATGAGAGATAAGAATAGCTGAGTTTGTGAGAGAGCAGTAAGTATCTAAAAGAGTCATCCATCTACTGGTAATTTAAAATTATACAAGGTCTGAGGCACAAACTGAGATTCTCAAAGCTCAGAGGTACCATGCTTTGCTTGGGCTTACTTCTAGTCAAATTATTAACAATCTTATAATAAATAAGAAGGCACACAGCGTGAAAGGTAGTTAATGTTGTTGCCATTCAAATGCTATTTGTCAATATGGTAACTTTCCCATGCGGCTGCCCACAGGCAACAACCTATAATTGTTCAAAAAATATCACTGTGTTTCTTTTACAGCAAAAATACCTTCAGAAAAGAATGCCAGCAGATTAGAGGGTTTGCCAATGTGCCTGCACATTAACCGGTCATATCTATACATTTTCTAAAGGGTACAGCTTGCAGCTACAGAGCCACGTTTATTCTGGGTGCAACACTACCAGAGTTGGTGACGTGGGATCAGGCATAAATCCGACTGAGTTTTTTCTGTGTCATGATAATTAATGATGTCAGAACACATATGGAGTGCAATTACAGTCAGTGGGGGCAACTCTGAAGGAAATTGAATTTGTCTTTTTCCTTGCACAGATGTCTAGAATTAATCCTAAAGTTGCAGGAGACAAACAGGGCAAAATAAACACAACGCAGCCCAAAGGGACTGGGAATGGTTTGGAAAGAACCTTACGCTTGCAGGAGGGCACTCCGGCTGTCCACTGGGTACCATTCCCTTTCCAAACACAGGTGATGACGCCCGGTCCCTCCAGCTGGTGCTCGGTAGAGCATTGGAACATTATCACTGTCCCCACGGCTGTGCCGTTGCCGTGAATGATCTGTAGCGTGCCAAGCTGGGGAGGGAAGACGCGGCTGCACCGCCCTGCGGAACAAAGCGAGACAATGCAGCGCCAGAGCCAAAAACGAAGGTCCACTTCAGTTTTACTGTGATCAGATTGTAAATCACTCCAAGTTAATGGTCAAAACAAATAACAGACCTCGGGGTGGGCGATGCTCACTGCTCTGCCAAGTACCAGCCCAAAGCCAAACCCCCTTCGGTGCCATTCAACAGTTCCACTGCTCTGACCCCCGGCACAGCGTTGGGTTTTACTCGTGTTGCAACATTATCTACTTACGACTGGTACCTATTACACATTTTTAAAAAACAGTCATTCTGCGAGTGGCGTGGTCTCCTACGGATTCCTGTCTTGTTGGACTCTGCGTGTTTAATGAAGTACTCAGGCTCGCATCTTCCACGCTGGGAGTATTCATAACATATCTTCCCCCCATGCAAACTCTCCAAAATTTAATGGATTGATCACAAATTTCAGTCTACTTGGTAGCATCTTTTCATGATCCTACAGAAACTTCCTATCTTTCAAGAGCACTTCACCTCTGTTAGTCTTGGCTGAAACGAGCCAGAATATACAAAAGACACTCTGCAGGGAGAGGACAGAAAGACATACACAGAGAGCACAATTGCATTCAACTTATCTCAATTTTCAAGTGAGTAACTCTGCTTTATAGTGTATCGTTCATTTTTAGTACGTTTTCGTCCATTTGGCTTTTCTCTTTCTGTTCCTTTGTCATTCACACAGGTGTTCTTTGAGTCATGGAGCTGTTCTCCTCTCGGCCGCCTAACGTCAGCCACTAACTTTATACACTGGGTTTTATTGTCACAACATTCCTTGTTTCACACTAATTTTGAAGACAAATTTTAATGATTGGTCATTAAGACTACAGATGCTATCCAGACATACTTCAAAGATAACAACAATAAATACATTTTTCTGGTTTTGTACATGTGCACTGACAGAATCTGGAAACTGTTTTACATAATCTTTTATTTTTAACATTTACTCAATACCAGCACTGCTTCTGCATCAGAGTTCAAGTTCGCTGTCTTTTGCTGGATTTCCAAATGACTTCAGTGGACTCAGAGGCAACTGGGTTGCAGTTGCAAGATCAGAGTTGCAATCACTATGATGACACACAAAAAAATTAAAAGGGAGAAAATATGCTTCCCACACTTAAAAGCAAAAAGAAATGTAGAGTTTTAATAGCCTCCTTGAGAACATCTTGCCAGAATCACACGTGGACAGCAAATCTATTTTATTTTTAATACTCAAAAACCCCCTCTTGTCGTTCACTAGCACTAAGCTTCTTCTATCAAACCACAGAGACAGGCTTACTACCTATCTGCAATTTACACTCTTAAAAACCCCAGCCCCTTGGAAAACAAACCCAAAGAAATCTCAGCAAAAGACCAAACAAAAGCCACAGTGACAATTACTGGTCTAATCTACTAAGTAAATATGTACTGAGGACTAGCTTTTAAAAACATGCCTTTTTTAATTCCATGCGGATTATTTCTGTTTGTCCTGCCACTTCTTTCAGTCTCTTACTATGGCAGCAATCTGCCTCAAAGAGAGCAAATATTTTCTTGAGGGTCGTTTCCCTTCATCTCTCGTCCTTCCCTCCAACATCCCGTTACAGGAACACATGGGATGCGTGCACTGGACAACCTTCCTCCTCACTTCAGATGAGAGTTACGAGTTTGGGCTTTTCTTTTTACCTTAATCACTCGGAGACTTACCATGAAAAACCATTGTCCTAAGCTGCAAAATATCTACCTGTTTGCATTTTACACTTTCAAGGCTATTTTTAGATACAGGATCACATACTTAGAGTTCACATCGGTGACAATTCCAGCTGCACAAGATGCAGAAAGGAATTCAGAGCCAAATTTGACTCAAAGTACATCTGTTTAGCCACCATAGCAGCCCTCATTACATGCTTTCAGCAGACTTGCCAGTTTACCTGGACTCGTTACTCAGCCTCTGCTCTCCAAAGAACAGATCATTTGGCACTAGATCCTTTCTTTCAAGACATATTTCATTTAATCCAGCGTTGACCACCCCGAGTAACACGTGCAGCTGTAGCTGGTTCAGGTGCTCTCGACCCTTTCCTGCACCGTCCTTGCCCACGATGGCGTATGTCAAGTGATTAAAACCTCTGAATGTCACGGACCTTGTCAGCATTATTCCTCAGCCGTAGCTTTTAAAATATTTTTCTTCACTTGAGCACTACTAAGATTTCTAACAGCCAATGTGCCATGAAGCCGTGGATATTTCCTTGCTTCGGCCGGCCAGGGCTGTAAGAGCATGATGTTGCCCCCCGAGGATCACTCCCGTGTGAATATAACTGGGGCAGGAACTCCAGAGGCTCATCTTACCGACAGCTTGTAAGAGCTAAACTTTTGAAAGCTTCTATACCTGGCTTTACACAGATGCTGAGTTGGAAGTTCATCAACTGCACTTCATGTACCTGCATTTGGCCAGAGTAGAAATACCATTTCTTCTTCTTCTAAGAGCTTTTCAACATAATTTCTTCCCACCAAAGTAAGAACATTAAATGTGCACTACTTTTTGCTTTTTACAAATGCTTTTATTGAAATGCATGGATGGATTTTTACTGGTATGACTTCATGAATTTTATTCAGGTTTGGATTTAATATCTCTGGGTAAAATTTGCCCTAATTTTCATCAGCAACGGTCTTCTAACTACTCATTTGTAAAGTCTCTCCTGTAAGCTCTAGCATCCTTTGCTATTAACTACCTATAATGTTTTTGCGGTTACTTGCTGCATTCACTGTTCTGCTAGGTTAATTTTACCCTTCCATCTCCAGAAAACCATTGTTTAGGTAAGCTTCCACCCTCGTATCTATATAAGCAGGTGTTACGTATAGATTTATCCTTTGAATACTCTTCAGGCATGTTTGTCTGACTAAATCTACTACAATCAAGAATATATTTTTGAATATATTTATTATATTTAATATTATATTGCCTGGGAAGATCCTCTTAGAAGATATGCTAAGCCACCTGGAGGGCAGGGAGGTGATTCGAGACAGTCAGCATG